TCTGTGTATTCAAAGTGGTTAGGATAGATGTATAGTTACATTCTCTTAATGAATAGAGGGATTTGTTCTAATAGTGTTTGTAAATAGGATATCATGTCCGCATCTTGTACAGCAATTAACCACTAGGAAGAATGTATGCAATGTGTTGATTATTGAAGCTGTCCTACCAATTTGGTTTGAAACTGTCTCATTGCTATTTGTTTCTCAATAAAATTATGGAAAAAATAAAGTTTAAGACAAAAGTGGAACAAAAAAGAATCTCTTTTATTCCCACCATCCAGAATACTTAAGATTGAGAAAAATCTATTTTTCTACCTCTTTATAAATTTTCCAGTTAGGCTAAAGGTCTGCAAAAATACTACAAAGAAGGGGGGAAATGCTAGGAAGGCAGAAACCATGTGCTATAGCTGAGCCAGTAGTGTCTGACAAGTAAGGGTGCCCCCATGCAATGCTGTCGCGTGACCAGGGCCACCTGGGCCGTCCAAGGGTCCGCTGGGCAGCCTAGCCACTCACCTGAAGTCCACCTCTGCCAGCGTCTCCAGGAGTTCTGTCCTCACCAGCCAGTAGGAGCTGTGCCTCAGGGCCAGGAGGTCCACCAGCAGCTGCAGCCCCAGGTCACTGTAGCTGCTGCTGCAGAGACTCATAGCACAGTGCTGCAAGCAGGTGGGGGGAGGTCAGTCCCTGGCAGTGCCCGGCATGCGACGACTGCAGTTTCTACACAGCGACAAGACACCGCGGGCTCTCAGAGGCACTCACACATCTGACCTCACCAAATTCAAGTCTACACATAAAGATGTTTCTTTTACCATCTCAATTCTGCCAATGTCACGGCTTTGTGTCTTAAACGATAGCAATCAATCTGTGATTTCAAAATCAAACTTGGTACCATACATAATTGGCTGCCTGGGAGACCATGCAACACGTCCCTAGCACCACCTTAAAACACCCATGGTCAGCGCAAAGGGCCCACCACAATGGAGCCCTGTGCTGTTCCAGGTCCTCTACTGCACAGGGAAAAGAAGGCTTGCTACTGTGGTGTGCCCCGAGCCTCTCTGCACACAGGGTACTGCCACACATGCCGCTACACAGGGGCGCCAACCAGCAGTGGGACTGGGCTGCCAACACACTCTGCCCAAGACCAGGCACATGTATAGGACCTGGCCTAAAACTGCAACTGGAAGGGCTGGCTAGAAAGCTCAGTGGACTAAAGCGCCTGCTTAGGCAGGCCTAGGGACCAGGGTTTGAAACCTGGCGTGCTGCGCCGGTCCCACTCCTAGGGCACTTGGAGATGGCGACTGAGACTGGCATAGTGGAGTGCGCCTGTAATTCCAGCACTTGGGAGGCTGAAAACGGGGATCACTACAAATCAGAGATGTGTAGTGAGACACTGTAGACCCTGTACTAAAATACATTTTTAAAATATATATCTGTATCTATATCTATATCTATCTGCAACTGGAGAAAATTACTATCAGGTCATGAAATTTTTAAAAGGAGAGATATTCCATAAATCTGAATTATAGTTCTTTTTTAGTTTTGATTTTTATTGGCTAATTTTTACTGTTGTTGACTGACTACTTGTGATTTCTGAGTTTGCTGGTAAGTAAAGTTTGCATCTGTTCTCATGTAAAGAACTGAGGCTCTTCCACTTAATATAAACAAAACAGGCTGATTAAATCCTTACAGCTCACTTTAATTCTTCAACTCTATGAGATACAGAGTACTCATATGGAGTACACTGGGAATATAGTATTTTCTTTAGATCCACAGATTTTACATTTAGTAACAGCAAGGTGTATTTCTAAATATCATTTTACTTTTATTTATTTATTTTTTTCAGTACTAAGATCAAATCCAGGGCTTTCACACTGAAGTATATCCCTAACCCTTTAAAAATATATTTTTTTCTTTTTAGTTTTTGAGACAGGGTCTTGCTAAGTCACTGAGATGCCCAGATTGGGTTCAAACTGCTTCAGCCTCCCAGAGTTGAGATTTCAAACAAGAACCACTACATCCGGCTATGAATATACCCTATAAGAGAAAGTGTATTTCAAACACGTATCTGAGAATTAAAGCTTAAAGTTTACTAAGCTTTGACTTTATTGGCAGGGTTTGTTTCCATTGCTGAGTGATGAATACATAGATATTAATGATTGCTTAATTAGAAAGGATGGGAGTATTTCATGCTGAGATCCACTTGTATCCTCACATTGGTAAAATGTCCTCTCATCAAAGAAATGGTTGAGATGAAAGTTTGTGCTCACCCTCACAGCTGTACAAGCCAACTTGCACGTCACAGAAGATTCATCTTTCAATGTTTTCTGGAGCAGAGGAATGCAGTCCGCTAGAGAAAACCTATTTCCTAAGCCAGAGAACAGGGAATAAACATCTTTACATATAATTAAGTTTGGGGATGGCATCTCCACACACATGGGTGAAAACTGGCCTTTACCTGTCAATGTCCTAATGGTGCCCAGCCAGTCCCCAACATGAAAACGAGATCTACTGAGGACAGAGGAGATGAGGGTCCCACAGAGAATGGCTGTAGCTCCTCGGACCTGTGGGTCTCCATGGTTGATATAGTTCAAGACGTCGGAGATATACTGCTCCTCTGTGGAGAGGAATTGCCCAGCCACTGTACAAATCTCTACCATCAACGTCCTAGCCTCAACATAAAAGCTTAGTTGTCAGAAAAAGTGTGAAGGGGTGCTTTCCAAACTTGAAATGGTGAGACTATAATAACCCTAAGTGCTAAAAATGTTGACGAGTTCAAGAATTCTAGATTGTTCATTTTGCTGATACTTCCTTAATCCAGGTTGTCTTGATTATTTCCAAGCTGTTGGACAATAATCAAAATTCTAAGATTCCATTTCAAAATAAAGATTAGCAAAACTTCAAAAAAATACACACTTACCTAATGTAAACTCAAAAGCAAAATGTGCCCTCTTACCCACAGAAAAACAGAAGGGAGAAAATAATTTCTACTTCACAATGATTGTAAGTACAGAGGCAGGGCTGCTGCCGCCCAGCAGTCTCCAGCAGTCCCCGCCAAACTCTATACATGGAAATCTGGCCTAGCCAAGCACGACTCGGCAACCTCGGTGACGTGACCTGTGCTACAGGGATAAACAGAGCGTGCATGGGAATGGCTCCGATCGTCCTAGATTTCTACTATTAGTCACACACATTTCAGTTACAAACACAGCATCTAATGGGAGTTCAGGAACCCAAGAACACTACTATTTATGTGTCTATGGAGAACTCCCACTGCGACCAAATGCATAAAGTAACTCCAAGTCTATATATTCTACTCTATTTTTTTTTCTTTTTTTCTTTTTTTGAGATAGGGTCTCACTATACAGTTCAGGCTGGCCTTGAGCTCACTTTGTAGCCCAGGCTGGTCTCAAACTCTCAACAATCCTGCTTTAGTTTCCAGAATGCTGAGATTACAGGCGTGCACCATCACACCTGGTTCCACACTACTCTAAAACTGAAATAGACTGAAGTATTTTTGAAAATAATGATTAAATCTGAGAGAAAGAAATGCACTCTGAACATACCAGGATATTCCATGGTGTCCAGAGGTACTTTATACAGTTTGCTGAAGAAAGACTCTGGATGCAGGGCCACAGCTGCCCCAACGCAGCTAAGGGCTAGGGCCTTCACACTGACCCGCACGTCCCTGTCCGGAACCAGCACTGCAAAGAAACCACAGGGCCAGCTTAGGTGTTTTTCCTTGACAAAATCAGACCCAATAAGCCACCTGCTTCTTTCATTTCCACCTCCCTCCATCAGTCAGCACAAAACCAAGCCCATCCCAACAGCAAGGGCCACAACACCTGATGTCTGAAACACCAAATACTTCATCAATCCTGTACCCGCCCTTCCATGCTTACCATTTTTTTCCCCAGTTAGCAAAAACGAAGCAGATAAAAGGCGGACACAATGGACCAGAGGAGCAGAATCATCATCAGTAGATTGTCCGATGTCACCTTTGATCCGGCAAGGCTGGAACACAGAGGCAGACACACACTCGTGCTAGTTCATGCGACAGACTGTTCAGAACAGCAACTATGCCAGGTGCAGAGAAGCGATGCCTGTGTCTGACAATGTAGAGGGACCCACAGCCACGCAGAGGCTGATGAGTCAGTGTCCACACAGACAGAGGACCGTGACAGGGACTGGCTCACAAGCAGGGAAGATACACAGGACCCAAGAGCAGAGAGCAGGCATTCAGAAAGACTCCTCAGGGAGGCAAGCCAGATGTAGTTTTCTATAGGTCAAACAGCAACCATTCAGCGAGGTAAGGTTTGCAGAAGCCCAAAGGTCAGAGAGAGCAGGCCTGTTTCAAGGCAGGTTTGGAAGGAGCTGTGAGGGATGGGGCGCAGACTGATGGGACTAAACCAGCGGTGGTAAGCCCTTTAGAGCTTTCAGTGAATAAACAGCCTGTTGCAGCATGCATGGCAGAGGTTCACTAAACTATGATACACAATCTAGCCCTCAGTGAAAACCTAAGCAGAAAGACAGTACATCTGCAAACCATAAGCCAAATAGATTCAAAATCATTCAGTGGAACAAGCAATGTGGCAAGGCTATGCACAAGTGAAAACTGGATGACCTGAGAAATCAGGAAAAGCACTCAGCACAAAGCAGGTATGTCACAAGGGTGAAGCCCAGACTCCCAAAGGAGGCAGAACCCATATACTCTGAAGGATCAGGGAGTCTCTGGAGAGGCATAAAAGGGAAGGCCCGAAGAGGTCTTCAGTATTTTAAGGGGAGATAAACAGGGCCAGTGATGGGAAACCAATAAACCAGGTTGCCAGATGCCAGTAATTTCAAACCCACAAATGAGCTCAGCAATCCAGAGCTGTCCTACCCCGAAGGAGCTCACCTTGTTCTCTTGATCACCTGGGTCAGCAGCTTCGTCTCTTGATACAAACTTATCTACACTGCTCTCGGAAGACTGCCTGCTGTGACCCACACTCTCCAATAAATGTGCTGGTTGAAGGGCTTCAAAAGCAGAAAAGTGAGATTAGGTGACAAATTTCAAAGGAAAACATGTATGCACGTGGACACAAAATCAACAGTAGCAAAGGACTTCAGGTCGGGAAAAAGGATGCTGACCATTCTCACCTGATACTTAAGACTCAGAAGACAAAGATATCAAAAGATGTATTCTTGGAAGGGAAAATCAAGTTGTTCAAGGTCAAAAAACCTTGCAGCACATCAGCTGGAGCCAACTTACCCAGGGAAGAGCTCCTGAAAGCCCCGGAAGCCTCGGCAGGAAGGCCACCTGACACAGCCTCGTCCTCCTCTGGGGGGTGGTCAGCCTGCATGCCTGAATAGTGGCTGTCGGCACCATCTAACACCTAGAGGAACCAATGGGGGCCGAGAGCGGCACAGAGTGCATTAGACACGTTGCACTCACTACACGTAGCACACAAATGCATGTGAGCACCTTCCAGTTTGTCAGCCCATGCTCCCTGCTAATTATGAAAACACTGATAGCTCCAAAACTTCCAAGGAATTTAATCTGAAACTTCTATTTTTTTTAGATAAAAATGAAAAGACCAAAGGAAAAATCTTTTCTAAGTAATTTTATAGTAAATTAGAGTAAGCAAGAGTAATTCCACAATCTGCGTTTTGTATCCTCTTAAAATCTTCTGTGTAATAAACCTGAAAAAACTGAGCAATGGACTCTCAAAGGACTAGCAAATTATTATTAAAATAATCTGATATAGCATCATTTTAAAGTTTATTCCCGGGGCCTGCAAAGTTCATCGGTCTAAAGCACCTGCTTAGGCAAGTGCCTAATGACTGCGGTTTGATCCCAGGAACCACATGCTGTGCACCAGCCCCGCCCCAGGGTGGGCTGAGCCAGCCACACACCAAAAAATAAAATAAAATTCATTCCTAATTCCTCATTTTTTTAAAAAAGCTACATGATCAAAAGCAAGCTATAAGACTTATCTTCTGCTCTTCCCTTTCAGAGGGTTTATCCCCAGAAAGCTTAGCTGGTCAATAGGATAAATTTAGTGAACATTTTCACCACAGTAATGAACATTATTGACCAGCTACCGTGTCCCACAGAACCACACACACCTACACAACATCTTTCACAGGGTGAAGGGGGAAAATGCAGCTCCAGAAACCCCTCCTGCCACTGGGTGTCTGCTGGGAGGCCCACCCAGCTGAGCTCTGCTAACTGCTCAACAGTATCTGCTGTCATCTGCCATGAATTTATCTGCTTGATGTGATTACCAGTGTGCCTGCCATCCTGCATGGGTGCATACACACACATTCACCAAGCAAGACCCTAAGGGGAAGACCTTCACTGTCAGCTTCATAAAAGCAAAAGTTTGGTTCTAAGGCCTTCGCTTCACCCTCCCCTTTTAAAACAATCTCAAAACATAACAGGTAGTTAAAGTTAATAAATAGTGATTTTTAGAAGTATATAATTCTTTATGCCTATTTTTAAAATATATTCTAATTTTTAAATGTTTTTTATCATATTCTGCAGGGACTTAAAGTTCAACATAACAATACTTGATGAAAAATACCTGTTCCATATTATGCCTAAGATGTTTGATATGCAGACAGATAGTGAGGTTAAGCTTAACAGCCTAAGTTATATGGTAATAACAATAAGCTGTCTTCTGGATGGTTAAAAACCTAAGTTTGCAGACTAAAATTAGAGAAAAAGGAGGGCCGTAGGGAAAGCCAACATTTTGGCCGTAGCCTTCCAAGGTCAATTAAGACTCAGGACATATGAGAACTTGTACTATAACGTCATGTAACTCGGTAGTGTCCCAAATTTTCTGATCAAGGAGATTATGGGGCCAAAGAGGAAAGTGATAGATGATGTAGAGTGTACCTAAGGAGAGTCACATGGAGAGAAAACACTCTCTCAGGCTTTCACAGAGAGCACAATGGCCAAGCAATGGCCGTGACTCATCCACATGGCTGACACTGACAAAGGTTCTACAATCTGAGGTATAGGATCTCAGGATAAATCCTGAGGGGATTTCACTGACCTTAGCAGACCCAAAAGCTACAACTCTTGTTGCATAGGTACTGCTTTACCTTGGTCTTAACCATCCAGCAGAAAAGTATAAAAACGAAGTATAAGAAGTAAAGCCATGCTGTTATGTTGAGCTGTAGGGGACTCAGGTCAACAATTTCTGACACTGCCAGTCAAGTGGAAGACCCAATACTATTATGGACTACTGGACTCTTTTAGAATATTTTGCTGAGTTTACACACCTATAATATTCAAATAACGGAACTTAACAAAAAAAGAGTATACAGATGAATGTCCATTTTGTATCTGTGTATTCAAAGTGGTTGGGATAGATATATAGTTACATTCTCTTAATGAATAGAGGAATTTGTTCTAATGGTGTTTGTAAATAGGATAGCATGTCCGCATCTTGTACAGCAATTAACCACTAGGAAGAATGTATGCAATGTGTTAATTATTGAAACTGTCCCATTGCTATTTCTCAATAAAATTATAGAAAAAAAACAAACAAACAAATAGTGATTATATAAAGGATACAGAAGGCTCCATGAAACACAAGGATGGTAGGCAGATTAGGAGAAGATGCTCAGTTCCCTACAGCCCTTGAGCCCAGAGCTCCCTACCACATCAAGCTGCTGTGACAGCACAAAGGCACAAGGACAGGGAGGGGACTGGCAAGGTGGAGCTAGTGCAGATTTTCTAATTTATTTCTGCACATTTTGGAAGTGGTTTGCACACTTTAAAATTTAGAAGCAAGTCAAGAAACAAACATACAGCATGTTCTTAAGAAAGTATGTTCAGTGTTTATCACAAAAAAGCAAGCCATGGCCAGTGAGATAGCTCAGAGATATAAGATCCTGCTTGGCAAGCTGAAGGACCTGGGTTTGATCCCTGGTACTGCAGGCTGTGCTGGTCCTGCACTGAGCCGTCACCAAAACTGGACATGGTGCTGCACACCTGTAATCCCAGAGCTGGGAAGGCTGAGACAGGAGGATCACTTAAGTCTGAGCCGCACAGCAAGATCCTGCACCAAATAAACAAACAAACATTTTTTTGTTTGTTTTAAAGCAAGTCTCGGGCCGGGGAGATGGCTCAGTAGGATAAGTGCTTGACTGGCAAATGCAAGGATCTGAGTTCAATCCCCAGTTCCACCAAAAAAATAAAATAAAATAAAATAAAATAAAGCAAGTCTCTTTTTTTCTTTGGTGGTACTGGAGATGGAACATTGAGCTGTAGCACTGAGATGCGGCCTCCTACCCTCAGCCTTTTTTTTGAGACAGGTACTCCCTAAACTGCTAAGCAGCCTAAGCTGGCTTCAAACTTGTGATCCTCCTACCTCAGCCTCCCAGAGCATCATACAACCTTTTTAAAGGGAAAACTGAGATATAAAACCAATTTCATTTGGGGGTATATGCCCAAAACAACTGAAGCAGGAAATATGCCTAATGCCTGTCAGCACAGATAGAAAAGAAATCATGAAAAACACAATGGAATCTTATTAAGCCATAAAGAATGCAAGCATGCTGTATGCAGGAAAACAGAGGAGTCTGGGACAACATACTAAATGAAATGAGTCAAAGAAATCATATTCTTTATATAAAAAAGCTAAATTATAAATAAATGGGTGAATAAAATGCAGGGAGATGGTAGGAAACAAGAGGCAAACTCTGGAAGATGGAGTCGGGGTCAAGGGGAAAGAGAAGACGGGATTAAAAGGACTGAAGATGACCAAGCTCTGGGGCACGTGTGTGCCGATTTCCCCAACAAACACCACTCTTCTCTACTGCAAACACACACTGATGAAATCTGGGTCTCAACAGCAGCAGTGTTCACTAGTTATAAGGTGCAATCAACCCAACTGTCCACTGACATATAAATGGATAAACAAAATATAACCCATACATAATGGAGTAGTATTCAGCCTTAAAACATGAAGAAATTTCTGAGGGCAAGGTGACACATGATTGTAATTCCAACTACTTAGGAGGCTGATGCAGCCTAAACAACTTGGCAAGACCTTATATCAAAATTAAAGGGCTGGAAGGGCTGGTGAGATGGCTCAGTGGTCTGGGACACCTGCTTGGGGCAAGCTTGGCAAAGCGCAGGGACTGCGGTTTGGTCCCCCAGCACCAC